ATACAACCTCAATGGATCTGTCACCTGCCCCTTGTATAGGTTTGATTACTCTGGTTAGAGGAGCGACTATTTCTGAGTCCGAGCCTGCGAGGGTAGTATTAAATGAGAATCTCAATAGACAATTTCTCTAGTTGATTCAAGGAATGGTTCGAGCTGCTGGTGTTACACCCGAAGTCCTCATTTCTCATACCCTTATTACTAATGGAGTTAGGACCTTTGGAAGCTCTACTGATGGAACTCTGATTGAGGCTGAGGATTGGCTATGTGCTACTGAGAGGCGTATGGATTAGTTAGGTTTAATCCATAGAGGATATATTTGGATTCATTTCGATGTTGGATGGGAATACCCACACCTGGTGGGAGTCTGTGATGAGTACTGTTCTGGTCGATCGCCTGACATAGGACTTTTTAGGGACCATTTTAGGAAACATTTCCTTGGAGAGTGTTATCTGGCTGAGATACGACAGTAGTTTCAGGATTTGGTCCAGGGAGATATGACAGTCTCTAAGTACGAGATAGAGTTTTTGAAGTTAATGAAGTATGGTGAAAGTATGGTTCCTAATGATAGGAGAAGTGCCATAAGTTTCCTCGATGACTTAGGTATGAGCTATCTAGGCAGGTGATGACTTATCGGGATGATGTGTTTGATGTGTTGGTTGATATAGCAAAAGAAATTGAGGAGGTTGAGGTCATGGTTCCTGATAGAGATCGAGTAGATCGAGAGAAATCTAGGAGGTCTTCTGGCCCGATTGAGTCTTTTGAACGTCCTGAGAAGAGACCTCGTACTTTTACTTCCCCAATGAGTAATTCTGATTCTAGGCCTACAACTCCACCCTCAGCTGTTAGGCGGTGTGATTCATCAGGTGTTTCTTATGTACCTTTTACGAGTGCTGTGAAAATCAACATAGGGGAGAATATCCTAAAAAGATGGGTACTTGTTATCGATGTGTATCTAGTGAGCATTTTCTTAGAGAGTATCCGCGTCCATCCTCTTTTGAGCGTCCATCTACTCTAACCCCTGCCCGTTCTCAGGATTCTGTTCAGACCCCAGCTAAAAGTCAAAATCAGGGTAAGACTTCTGGATCTTCTTCTAGGATTGACACTAGAGCTCGTTCGCAGCAGAGTTGAGGACCAGTTGTATCTGAGGTGAGACAACCTACTCTGATCTATGTTACTAGACGTCTTGACGATCAAGATAAGCCCAAGACTTCTACAGGTATATCTATTATTAATTATGTTTCTTATTATGTATTTCTGAATAATGATTCTGTTTATTCCTATATTTCATGTCATGTATTCCAAGACTCTCAGACTCTGATTTGCCTTATCGAAATAACTGTCATCGTTGCAAGTATCTGTTCGACTTGGGAGAATTTCGAGGATTAAATTATTTTAAGGGGAGGAGAGTTTTCACACCTTTTATTGGAGTTGATTTAAATTTAATTTTAATTAATTATGAGGACTATTTTACAATTTTTTAGAAATTTAATGCCCATTTTTAAAAAAAAACTCAAAAGTTCAGGGACCCAACTTGAGTTTTACCCTTTCTCTACTTGCAGAAAAACAAAAGAAAAATGAAAAGATGAGTGGTTAGAACGATTTGAACTCATGACCAACAAGGATGGGGAGCCATACCCTAGCCACTAGGCTAGGGCATTGTTTGCGTCAATAAAGAATAAAAATAAATTTTAAAGATATCATATTGGATTTTATGAATCCTTATTTTCCCCTACCCTAATCAGAATTCGAAATCCCTAAACCTTTTATCCCCAATGACATCATTTCTTTTTCCCCGAATCACCATCCTCCGGTGGTTGTGTCATGTACCTCCAATACCATCTTGACTGTCTTTCACCTGCTACCAAAACCCCCATACCTTTCGTCGAGAGCTATCATGGTTCATCGCAAATCATTGTTTGAAGCCCATCAAGAACCATAACTTCCACATCTGTTTACCTTCAATTTTCGATGATTTCGTCGCCGATTTGCATCACTGTGAGTACTAAAAAGAGCATCGTCGTTATCCGACCAAACCCCATTTTGTATAATACTACCAACCGTCGTGAAAACCTGATCGAAGTTTTGTGAAACCCAAATCGTCGGCCACTGTTTATGTCAATTTCAGCCACATTAAGCTTTTGTTCGCCTCATCGCCTTCATATTCAAAATCCTTGCGAAGTTTTGGTTAAAACTCAATCAGCTCCGATGCCTCATCGTGGTTTCTCCGCCGATCATCATCGGGGTAAGAGTTTCAGCTATTTTCTTTTAATTTTCATGATTTTAGCTCGTTTTGATGTTTTGGTGATCTTAGAGTACTCAGGTTAAACTGATTTGAGTCAACTCGAGCCGGTTTGAGTCAACTCGGATCGAACTGAGTCAACTCAAGCCGGCCCGAGTCAATTTAAACCGGTCTGAGCTATTGATTTTGACCTGACCGTTGATCAGACCCATTGATTTTAACCTTTGACCAGTTTGACCATTAACTTTGATCACAAAGTCAAAAATTTTGAAAAGTCATATTTTATGTTTTTCGACGTCATGAGCCTGAATTCGAAGTCTATTTTGCCAAATTTGAACCCAAAGCCTCCTAATTGACCCAGTAAACTCGAATATGCATATGTAATATAAGTATGCATTTAAGTGATTTAATTAAGTGCATCTAATTTATTTTGAGGGTCAATGATTAAATTATTATATCTTTTAATTAAGGTACCCGTAATATTCCCGACCATTCGTCTGCTCGACCCGATTCCTCCCGATATGCTCGTCTGCGAGAGCCTGTGATTACTCGTATAGTTCTGTAACCCTATTAAATACTCAGTTTAGTGTACTACTCCGATAATAATTTTGTTCTGATGTAACTTAGGTTCTTGTACAACCAAAGAGCGTAGTGAAGCTGGTGCTCGATAGATCTACCGAACTTGTTCTTTTGGCGAGGTGTGTTCCTTATGTGCTATATATATATATATATGTTTGAAATATCATGTACACATGATTGTTTTACCTGATTTGCAATATGGCTAGCTGATCTGATTTAATTTCGCATGATTTATCTATTTCAAGTCTGATTTTTTTATTTACTGAAGTTTTAAGTCTGCTTGTCTGATTCATGTTCTCTAGTTACTATTTTTACTAAATTGATATCTGTTGGAACTCTGATTTCCTTGCTACTGTTAGTTACTGTTTGAAAACTATTCTCTTCAGGGTACTTTTTGATCTGGTATGAAGTTTCTGCAGGTTCAACTCTGATCAAGCTTGTAATTCCTCATGCATGTTCAGCATCGATCAAGCAGGTAATTCCTTGTGGACTTAAGGTGACCCTTGGGTAGGCTCCTGGGTCCAGTGGTAAGACCTTATAGATCCTAAGGTACTCCTTTAGGGTGGCTTCTCTGCTATGTGCATTGGGTAAGTCCTTATGGGCCTGAGGGCACACCCCTTGTGCAAGATGTCATATAACAAACATTCATTTATATATGTATTAGATTTTTGGGCAAAGGACACAAATCATCTACCAACTATAGGTTATTATTTTGTTGAGTCTCTCAATTATTAAAAGTTATAAAATGATCCTCTAACTATAGGACATCTTTTTATTGAGTCCCCCAATTTTTAAAAGTTACAAAATGATATAATTATTTGCGGGAGATAAAACTTCAATCTCAACGTATGCAATGATATTCATGTTTAAATGTTAAGAGTTGTGTTTTAAGTGACGATTTAAGTGTGGAGGTCTCTTTTATTTTATTTTCAGAATTAAATACATATTCTCGTTTTTTTATTGAGTTCTTTTCTCGTATTCTTGAAAATTTTGATTTTTGTCGGCTTGTATGATACGTTGTTATTTTATTTTTATAACATAATTTTCTGGATAAATTATATATTTAGTACTTAAATTATTAGTTTTAGTTTAAAATCATATCTAACATTTAGTTTTTATTTTATTTTAGTACTTCACCGTTAAAAACTTAACGCATTCAGTATCTAAACTATCAGTTTTTGTCTTTTTTAATACCTAAGGTTCCATTTTTTTTCAAAACTTAACATTAAGTTTTTAATGGGATATTATGAAAGAAAAACTAAATATTAGGTATGATTTTGAAAAAAAATGAAAGTTTAGGTACTTAAACTACCCAAAACTGATAATTTAGGTACTAAACGTGTAATTTACCTTAATTTTCTATCGTTATGATAGTTTGACAATTCATGTCACATTCATCACTACACATTCCTGATTAATAAATGTTGATGATCTTTCATAATTAAATCCTTTTTACAACAATTTATCGATGTATTTAAAATAATTTATCAAATTGGTTCTTTTAATCTTCAAATCAACATCAATATTGCGTCTAGGTTTAACCAGACACTGTAAGATTATTCTATAAAAATAACATAAAAATTAAGGGTAAAGTATATGAATGATCCTCTAACTATAGGATATTACTTTATTGAATCCCCGATTATTAAAAGTTATAAATTGGTCCTCAACTGTAGGGTGTTGCTTTGTTGAGTTCCTCGACAATTAAAAGTTACAAAATGATTATATGATTATTCATATGTTCCAAACTCGTCCTTTCTCGTTAATGACGGTTGTCCGAGTTGAACGTTAACTTGTTGACTATGATATGATAAAATTTAATCCCATAATCTCAAACGATTATACAATTGAAATGTTTTAAGATCAGATTTTATCATATCCTAGTCAACATGTTAACGTCCAACTCAGACGATCGTCAATTTTTTAGTGGAAAAGAATGAGTTTGGAACATATGAATACTCAAGTGACTATTTTGTAACTTTTAATAGTCAATGAACCATTTTAAAACTTTTAATAATTGAAGAACTCAATAAAGTAGTGTCCTATAATAAGGGGATCATTTATGTACTTTACTCAAAAATAAAAGCTACAATGACTAAACAACTAAAATTTAGGGGTCGCCTAGAAGAAATTGAAGAGAATAACGTTCTTATCCCTAAAACTTGGGATAAACCCTGGAATTGGGATACACAAATCGGTTCCCGTCTTATTCCAGCCTCCAAGCAATCGTAACCCTATCCCGAAAACCTTATCCCTAAACCTGATTTCTCAAAAAAAAACTCTAAACCTTCAGAAACCCCAGATTATTGCCCTCCATTGTTCCACAATTCCAATCCAAGGTATAAATTATCAACTAATCCAATTCTCGTTCGATTTTGTTAATGCCCAAATGTTCATATCAACTCGTAATTCTTGCATTTCTAGGTTTGATTTTACATGATTCAAGAATGGGTATCCGAGGCAAAGGCAGTTTGGATCGTTTAAGAACGATATGGACACCCGAAATGGACCGATATCTCATCGATCAAATGCTGGAACAGCTCAAAAAGGGCAACAGATTCGACGACCATGTGTTCAGCAAAACGGCGTGGATGAGCATGAACTCATCGTTCAACGAGAAATTCAAGTTCGATTACGAAATGGATGTGTTGAAGAACCGGCACAAAACGCTGAGGAATGTGTTCAAAGCTGTTAAGAATCTGTTGAACCAGAAGGGTTTTAGCTGGGATGCGGCTCGACAAATGGTGGTCGCCGAGAGTAAAATCTGGGATAAATATATCAAGGTTCAATTATTTAATGATTTGATTGTTTTGAAGGATTTATTGCATTTTAGGGTCTTATTTGTTGATTCACAGGTAAACCCAGATGTTCGTCCTTACAGATTGAGAAGTCTTCCATGCTATGATGATCTGTGTGTTATATATGGGGATCATTTAGCTGGCAAAATGGGTAAATAATCCTATCCTTGATGCTACTAATTCTTAGTTTGGTGGTCTGCTATTCCGACTTAGAGGTGAGTGTCTGGCTGGGATGAATGTAAAATTTTACGAAATATAAAACCTTAGGAATTAAATTAGATCATCAATAGAAAATATAAAGAAATATAATTGTTAGTCCGGTTTCGAACTGAGAGATGAGTTTGTTTATTTTTATTAATATTTTGTCTTATATATGGAGATTTGTGTAAATAGGATTGTGAATGAGACAAGATGGATCACGAGTTACTCAATATTGACTCAATCAACTCTCGAATCGAATGACCTCGATTCGAATTCTTAACGACCTGAAGCGAGTTACTTGATAGTCGACTCGAAAAGCTCATGAGTAACTCGAAAAAATAATATACTAATTTTTTAGATTTTTTAAATTAAATTATTAATAATATTAACATTAATATGTTCTTTTTTTATTAAAAAAATACAATATAAAGCTTTCATGTATTTAAGATTCATGTTCAAGCTCGAGTTTGAATTTCAATCGAGTTAAGTCTGTGTTATGACCCTAGGAGATTAGAGAAGAAATTAGACGAAGAATTGAGAGAATTAAGATTGAGAGAAAAGAAAAGATTCAAGAAGCTTAGAATTCATTCAATCAAAGCATGCCCTCTCCTCCTCTAGTACATGGTTTATATAAATACAGTGTACCCCTAGTTACCCTACAGCTGGCAGTCCTTGTTGTACTGAATATAACAACCTACACAGATAAGCAAGCTGTTTCCTATCCTTAGTGGGCTGTAAAACGTGTCAGGTCCATTCCCAATTCCAAATCCCTAACCCTCTCTGATTTCCCCAATTCTGATGTAAGGCGAATCTACACGCTTTGATGAAAAGAGTAGATAGCCTTATTGTGTCCCGATCTAGGATTGACAAGTACTGATGTCCTTGAATTTATAAGTTTGGGCTGCAAAATAAGATAAGAAAATAATGATTAATAATGGAATTTAATAAATGAGATAATAATATAAGTAATGAAAATAAATAATAAGAATGAAATGAAATAAATAAAAGATAGAGATGGCTGCGGAATTGATGGAAGAGATGAATGATGTTGATGATGAAATGGCAATGGTGGTGATGTTGTATCTCAAACACGCCAAAGAGGAAACTATGCTATGAAGCACAATCCCGGTCTTCACAAACTTGCTTGAGGGGTGGTGATGGTGTCTTCAACCCACTAGATATCAATCTAGGAATTTTGGAATCAAAATGGAAGGAATGACGCCACAAGTATAGGAACTATACTTGTTTAATCGATAAAGTTCACAAAGAACTTTGAAGAGAAATAACTCACAAGAGTATATTTTATATAAGAGATGAGATGAGTACAAATGAATTGCACTAGCCTATTTATAGTTTTTCAAAGGGTTTAGGCCGAATAGACACATGATGGTTCGGCCAAGGTTGAAACCCCTTTGAAAACACATGATTTTTAATGAAAAATACATAATTTTAATGAAGATAAATGCTCTTGGCCAAATGGTTATGTGTTGGTTCGGCCCTAAGGATGTTTTGAATGCATTTGGAAGTTATTTGGACGCCAAAATGGAGAGGAAGGAGTCTTTGGCCGAATAGGAAGCATCCCTTGATGTTTTGGCGCCAATTTGATGTCACATGGAGTGTACATGCTTGAATGATGCACATGGCAGCCTACTTGAACGCACATGGGTCTTCTTGCAAGGCTTTGGTGAGGTTGCAACCATAGGATGATGTCTTGAAGTCCATGGGCAGCCTAGAGATGAACTAGCTTCAAGGTAAGCTAAGTGAGTGTCTTGGTAGCTAACTAGGTGAGTTATAGCTTGATGGACTCAAGCTAGTTAGCTTTGGTCTTCTCAGCTCCTCAGCTACTCTCCCAGTTACTTCCAGCTACCTTTAGTCCACTTTTCAACAATTTGGTCCAAAGCTCTCTTCCAACTAGGTTCAGCTACATGATAGCTCCTCCAGCTAAGTTGAAGCTCCTTAAGTGATGAAATGAACTGCCATAACGTTCAAGAGCTAGTGTGAGCTGCTATGCTTATCCTTTTAGCTAACCAAGCTACCATAATATGCCTTGCTTTGTGTTTCACCTATAGGAATTAACAAACAAACCAAGTAAGCAATGTGTGAGCTCATTTAAGGTAAAATGCATGATGTCGTGAGGTGTTTGAGTGATATAAGCTATGAATGATCATCTAGAAGCTAAGATAACATGTATATAAGCTAGATAAAAGGCATAGGACGTTCATGAGCTTTAAGAAAACATATATGAGCTAGAAAATAGATGCATGCATGCAAATGAGCTAAAGAATCATGGATTTAAAGCTAGTGAGCTAATGTAAACATAACATGAGCTAGAATAACATGACATGAGTTAATGAATGAATGAATACATGCTGTCATGATATGTAAATGATATGCAAACATAATAAATGAATCTAAAACGTATGTAAACATAATATAAAGCTAAGTAAAGATGTGAAAACATATTTTATGCATAAAAATTATATAGTTGCAAGTGAATGATAACATATGATTATTCAAGCATAGTTTAAGATGCAAATGTATGCTCATAATAATATATAGTGCATAAATGAGTAAATATAATATAAAGTAAGGAAGAACTCCCTTAGAACCAGCTTTGAATAACATCCATGGTGTGATCAAGTTATGGAGAAAATTGGAGCTAGATAGGATCACATCAAATTCTCTTGCTCCGATTCATATCTCTTCTCCTTTGTGCATGACAATACCCCCTCCATGAAAGGATCCTTGTCCCCAAGGATCCAAACCTGGGATTAGTGCTTTAAGCACAATATAGTTTTCCCCAGTGATATTTTCTGGCCTCAAGTTCGTCCACTACAACAACAATTGAGTGATAGCCTGATTGTGCTTCTTGAGGTTAAATACACTTTCATCCAGTGTTGGGCAGAGAATTCCATCAGAACCACCCATTGCAACCTCAAAAATTATTTCTTTGCCAAAATTTGAAGTAAGCAATTCTCCTGAGCCCTCAATGCAAACATCAACAAGATTCTCAGCGAGCCCACTCTTGACTATCAACTCTCCTCCTTATTGAACGAACCTTCTTCCCACCTTCAGCTGAGCAGAGGCTCTCTTCGGGAATATCACTTTTATCAGACTCGGTTTCTGTCATATCAGGATCACTTGTAGCTGTCTCCTTTGTAGGTTCTTCATCAAGGTTCTCTTCAGGAATATCACTCTTAGCTGCCTTCTTATTAGATTCTTTATCCCGTGAAATTTTCTCAGATCCGACTTCGTAATCATTCTTAGCAGTGAGCGACAGAACAGATAAATTTAGAAAGGCCAGACCATCGAAATTTAAATAGCGTGAACAAAGCGCCTTCCACTCTTGTCCAAAGCAAGCTCTTTCAATGTTGCTTGGAGCTCACGGATGATGAACTTTGTTAGAAGCTCCGTGTCATCAACCATTGAAACAATGCCAACGAGTACCATGCACCCACATTGATCATGTGTTATCTTGCTTATATGGCCTTTCATTCCTTTGATGATTTTCTTTCTTTCCTTAGCACTTCCATGCTTAACGCAGAGCATACCAATCTTAGATCCATCCCGAGTATGGATCATATGAACTAGGAGTGGACCAGACAGTTGTTGAATTATATCCGCAGCAGAGGACTGATCAGCTATGTTCAAATACTCTACTAATACCCTGTATATAATCGAGTGATCCACTATTCCTTTTTCAAGGATTGGTTAAATCACCGAACTCATGTGTTGCAAAACAGAAGATTTCTGCAGGCCCAACTTCGATATTACATCTATTAACCTGCTTTCTTTGATGGATGCAAAGTCTTTAAACAGATGAAGCTCGAAAGAATATAATTCCATCAGAAGCTCTTGTTTTTTAGAGGCATTTCCAAGTTGATATGCATGCTCAACAACTACAGATCCAACCATGTGACGAAGAAGCGAAGCAACGTGCCCACGAAGAGTTGAGATAACCCCCACCAGCTGCTTATTAGATGCCGCATCTAACATTTTCTTCACAAGATGCACCGCATAGGCATTGCACGAAAGGGTGAGAAGGTGTGGCTGAAGCTCAGAAAATATAGCATCCCTTTCTGATTGCGAGCAGTGTTTAACACAGGTCTGCAGAACACGAGACGAAACATGGGAACCAACTATTTCTGGAATCTTTCCCTTCATCTTTTGCAGAGCTTCAGTTATCAGCTTTGATCTGTCTTCTTTAGCAATATTCCGACATCTCATCTTTTCCCATAGAGATGCAAGCTCTTGTTCAAGAGTATAATGCGGTTTCCTCTTCTTCTTTCTAGCTGTTGCCAATTCCTTTGCTTGGATTCGACGCTCTCTCTTAGAAAGCTCTTTATTTTCACTCCCGTAATCCTGCTTCTTAAACTTTGAATGACTTGGGTGTTCGTGTTTTTGTTTCGATGGGTTGAAAGGTTTTATTAATGGCTTGTTTGAAGGGTTTTTTTATTGGATTGAAGCAAGTAGCTTCGGCTTCTTCGATTTCGAGCAATCTCGGTCAGTGTTTGAGCTTGAAATTTGCTTTCTCTGCTTGGGTTTTCGCATTTGTTGATTCTTGGCCGCCATTGAAGCTTTTAGCTCTAGAGCTCTATCTCCTTCAGCACTGTATGATTCATAGGATTCATCTCCAACCTTAGGTGGACTCATAACAAGACTAACAAGAATTTGACCAGAGATGTTGGAATACATATTGACAATTGCCACTTTATAAATTTGCTCCCTGACATCTACACTGAACCTAGTTACCTCCATGTAGCCACCCCTTTTTTTACACTATCCATAATAACCTTTAGAGACTGACTGAAAAGATACTAAGGATATATCCTTCTCGCTATAACCCATGGACCGCGAAACCTTCTTGAAAGAGTGGAATTTCTTTTCAGGTACATAAATATTTTCCTGATAAACCTCGTCTGCCAGCAGAACAAGACCCTTTTGCTTGCAGAACTCCACAATTGTCTTCTGATTTTCCTCAGTAAGAACCTGTCCTGTTGGTTTGCCTGGATTTATTACAACCAAGGCCCTAACAGTGCTGCCCTTGTACCTGGAAATCTCAAGTTGTTTCTTAAGCTCAGAGACTTCCAAACCCCATCTTGTGGCTTCATCAAGATAGTATGGAATCTCCACAGCAACAAAACCACTGCCCACTCGCGCATTTTTAAGATTGATTCCCATTAGCAATAATCTAAACTTGTAAGGGTCATCATCTTCTACAAGTTTATTCCTCCCATTAGAATCAATATGAAACACCTTGTTTGTGGTCATTTTTGCTGTCAGCCGAGTAATTATCTCTTTGCCGACAATGTCATCCGTGGAAATCGGACCAATAGTGAATTCGAATTCAGTATGCTCTTTGTCTTTGTAGAGTCTGGTGACCTGGTAGATCCATTCATTAAACTGTTGGTAAACTTCATCAACTAAGGGTCCAGGAGTGATCCTCAATGGCACTGATCGTGAAACAACGATTAGAGATGAGCTGTTAGGCCGGAATACATATGCACCAGATGCCTGGGAATCAGAATCACCACTGCTTGAACTGTACCACAGGTAGCTCTGCTGCACTGGTACATCTACCTTTGGTGTTGGTAATTTATCGAACACCTGGGAATCATCATGTTTTTCCTTACACTTTTTACCAGTCAGCAACTGGAAAATGTGCTCCACATCTCTCTGCTGCGACACCATTTTGGATTCCAACATACTCAACCGACTGTCCTGCTGCTGCCACCATTTAGGAGGTTATGTGCCATCCGTTACTTGCGTCACCAAAGTTGTAAGTTCTGCAATCTGCTGTTGGATTGAAGAAAGATTAGGAGTTTCGACCATGGTTCGATTCTTTGCTTCAAGCTACCAGGAAATGATGGCTATGAATATCAATTGTTATGACCCTAGGAGATTAGAGAAGAAATTAGACGAAGAATTGAGAGAATTAAGATTGAGAGAAAAGAAAAGATTCAAGTAGCTTAGAATTCATTCAATCAAAGCATGCCCTCTCCTCCTCTAGTACATGGTTTATATAATTACAGTGTACCCCTAGTTACCCTACAGTTGGCAGTCCTTGTTGTACTGAATATAACAACCTACACAGATAAGCAAGCTGTTTCCTATCCTTAGTGGGCTGTAGAACGTGTCAGGTCCATTCCCAATTCCAAATCCCTAACCCTCTTTGATTTCCCTAATTCTCTTGCTCCGATTCTTATATCTTCTCCTTTGTGCATGACAGTCTGAGAACATTTCAAGTTTAAATTTTTTTTGAGCTCGAGCCAAACTTTAATTTTTTATTTTGAGTTCGAGTCGAGCTTGACAATTTTAAGCTCGTGAGTTTTCAAGTAGAGTTGAGCTCAGTTTTATACTTTTCAGGTCGAGTTAAGCTTAGTTTTACACTTTTCAAGTCAAACTCAACAATATTCAAACTCGACTCAACTCGTTTACAGCCCTAGTGTCGGATACGGTACAAGAAACAAAGTATGCTCCATTTTCAAAGATTTTGCATGTATTTGGAGGATGATATATCGTATTTATGTCCGAATGTGTCGAATACATATATTTAATGCAGACACATTAGCAAAAATCAGTGTGGTGCAGCCGAGGTTTCATGTATTGGTGGTGTAATTTGTTACCAGGTTATAGTTTGCCGGAGACATCATCACACTTGGGTGAGGATGAAGAACGATTGGCCGCTCGACTAGAACATGGCGAAGAGGGAACCGTGGAGGCTGTTCATGAAATCGCATTAGGTGAAGAATGTGTCTCACTTCCCCTTGAAATGATGGATGCATCGGAGAGTACGCCAATTGCAACAACAAACCCACCATATGGTCGCAATAGGATGTACTGGCAACCGCCGATGGACCAGTTTTTCATTGATCTTATGGTTGAGCAAGTGCGCAACGGGAACCAGATCGGTGGTGTATTTTGCAAGCAGGCATGGATAGAGATGATTGCTTTGTTTAATGCGAAATTCGGTTCTAGCTACGACGTGGACATACTAAAGAATCGCCTTAAAACTCTAAGAAGGCAATATAATGTCATCAAGAACATTCTTCAACTGGATGGATTTGCTTGGGACTATGAACGTCAAATGGTGACTGCTGATGATAGTGTATGGCAAGACTACATCAAGGTATGTATTTATGCGTTAAACTCGAATTGCAGTTGATGCTCTAATAATCTAGGTCATATTATAATATAAGATGTTCGGTTATCTTATAATCATACCCGAATCTTGCATACTTGGTACTAGTAGCCATATAGAATTAGTGTACATTAGGACTTGGAGACGATATCTGCCATCAAGTATATGATACGGTGTGAATGTTCGGATACTGGTATGTATATGACACGGTAATGGTCAAATTTTTCAATGTATTCGGAGGGTCATAATCCGAACGTAATGCAGGGTAATGATGGTACGAGGAAGATGATTGTTGTCATTTCATTTTGGTTATTGATTTGTTTGACATACTATTGAAAGCCCTTTAATGTACTAACATGCAGGGGCATAAGGATGCACGGCAGTTCATGACCCGACCGGTGCCCTACTATAAAGACCTGTGCTCGATATGCAATTCCTCGTATCCTGATGAACGTGATTGCGTTGCTCTCCAATGTTCCGAACCAGAAAACGTGGTTCAAGAAGTGAAGCCGGTGCAGGCAGCTAAGAGTTCTCAGTCTCCTGTAGCATCTATTTCGAGTGAAGGTGAAATCGGTTACTTACTGGATCCAGCATGTCTGGATTCAAACACAGGGTCTAACGCTAACAACAAACGTCAACTAGAAAACAAGTCGAGTTCCATACATTCAAAGAAATCAAGAAGCGAGTATGACAGTATGGCCAGTGCGCTTCGAGAGATGGCGAGTGCTGTTTCGTCTTTGACCGAGAAGAAGGATGACGAAAACTCGAACCCCATTTCGATAGAGAGCGTAGTTACAGCGGTACAGACATTGCCGTACATGGATGAAGAGTTTATATTGGATGCATGCGACTTTCTGGAAGATGAAATAAAAGCAAAAACTTTTATGGCACTGGATGTCAAACTGCGGAAGAAGTGGCTGTCGAGGAAGCTCCGTCCTCCGCAGTGAGTTGAATCGAGTCTAATTGAGTTTACTTTTATTCTTTAGAAGAGATTAGGCACAGAGATACACACAATCTTATGGAAATGGTAGAGAAATTCTACAAAATTGCTAGGATATGTGGAATATATACATGGAAACAAGTTTACATTTTTGAGACATTTTCTGGGAGAAAAGTATCTTCATATCAAGTCAAAGACTGTCTTCCTCCGTTACTCCAAGAAACGTATATTATTACAATTATCTCTAAATATATAAAGTATAATTATATTATTTTTAGGTTAGGTTAGATATTTTTCTTCATAAACTCGAATTTAACTAGATTTGAACTTATACTTTATAAAACCTAAGTTGACCCCAACTCAATTTAAAAAAACACAATAAGACCAACTCCAGCGCATCGTTGGAGTGGCTGTAATCTCTACTTTAGAGATGGATTTTAACTCCAGCCCATCGTTATTTTAATACTTTAAAGATTAATTTATCTTAATATTTATTAGAAATGTGTATGTTTTATTTTATATTTGTAAAATCAATATTATAATAGTTAAATATTGTGAATAAAGTAGAATTAGTGGTAATGTAGAGATAATGCTGGAGATGAATTATTGTTTCTTTAGAGTGGAGATAGAGATGCTGTAGAGTAGAGATTAGGGGTGTAGAGTAGAGATGAGGGCTGGAGATAGTCTAAGGTCAGATTAGATCTGAACTCATCGAGTTTGGGTTTCGTGTCCATCCTTATTGGAGATCCGAACTTTTCAAGTTTAGATCTCGTGTCCATCCTTAACTAGAGCATGATCATCAATAATAGATTAAAGAGGTTAATAAAAATGATCTTAATATTTTGATTATCTATATATTTTAAATATTTTTATTAATAATTTATTTTTATTACTTAAAATTTTATAAATTTATCCTAACATAAAATCTTACGTTTTCGGATATATTATTTGGAGAGCACGTCCATTATCGAGTATAATTTGAGAAAAATTATCGAATTTAAATACCTGGTGTCCTTTTTAATAGGTTATTCATTTGATATTCAAAAGGTCCAGCACCCACCAACTCAAATTTATCACTATTTAATAACAACTGTTATTGGAATTTTACAATGTAATATTAATAGAAAAAATATTTTAATATACTTCAAATTAAAAAAAAAGAGGTTTTCGGCTGAACATAACATTATTTTATTACTCTTATTTGATTTAATCCAAGCACGATCTAACACGCTTAAAGAATAATCTATGATTAATGATTAATTAATTTAATTAATTTTGGGTAAATTACACAAATGGTCCCTAAACTATAGGGTACTACTTCATTAAGTCTTTCGATTATCAAAAGTTACAAAATGATCATCCGACTATAGAATGTTACTTTGTTATGTCCCTTGATTATTAAAAGTTAGAAAATAGTCACCAAACTATTTATTATGTTTCAAACTAGTCATTTTTCGTTAAAAAAATTGGCGGTTGTCTAAGCTAGACGTTAACATGATGACTGAGATAAGTCTTTGAGATTATATGATCAAATTTTATCATATCGCAGTCGGCATGTTAATGTTCAACTAAAAATAATATCGATTTTTTAACATAAAATGACGAGTTTGGAACATAATGAATAGTAGGTACATCATTTTGTAACTTTTTATAGTTGAGAGACTCAACAAAGCAACACTTTATAGTTGAAGGACCATTTTATAATTTTCAATAGTCGATGAGCTTAATAAAGTAATACCCTATAGTTAGGGGATCATTTCTGTACTTTATCCTTATTTTTTTTATAAAACTAGCATAGAAATGCTTCCACTATTAATTAATTAAGTCCTTTTGTGGCCCCAAATTAATTAGGTAAGCAAATTTAACAGCTTATTCGCCAAATCCAACATTTTTACTGGTAGTTTTTTTTATCACAATATAATAGGAGGGTTTGATTTACAATTTGACACTTTCTTTTTCATTTAAGTACTTTTTCCAGCTTTACATCTAAATTATCATTTTCGCCTTAATTTAACAGAAACTTATTAATAACAATGTATTTGTTTCATATTTTTATTGAATATTAGTAATCTTTTAATAAAATAAGATGGAAAATGATAATTTACATATCTAAAGTAATTTTTTAATATAATTTCCATAATCTAAGAAGAAAAATAACTAGACTCTAAATTAATCACCCTCAACATTGTTTCACCGTTGACAAATAATTGCAGAGCTAATCTTCCTTGCCTCACGAGGCAGCAGCTGACCTTGCACCATCGCCAAAGATTTATAGACCTCCACAATCATTTTGTCGTCGTATTCTTTCACAGGACTCTTCCCGAAGGCTGCGATGCTCCGACCACCACCTCCACCACCGATGGCTCCCATGTAAGCGGTGTTAACCACCACCCCGGAATTTGCTAATCCCTGCATCGTTTTCACGTAGGCGTCTCGTAACCAAACAAACAACTTCTTGGGCGAAGGTATTATCCTCAGCTTCGCCTTGACCCTCATCCTCCATAACCTCCTCCGCCGCCGCCGCCGGGTGGAAGAGCCAAGGTTCACCACCTTGCTCCGCCGTGAACCGGTAGAACCGTTGAGCTTGACGTAGCCTCTCCGGTTCCAGTAGCCTCTCAAAGACTTGTACACAGTAACGGAAATACCTTCCATTACTAGTTTTGGTTTCTTCCTGATGGAGCCTTTCCTGATTTGTTCTTGTTTATGCAGCGGCTACTTTTTCAAGAAAAAGAAACAAAGGTAGGTGGTTGGGAGATTGATGGCACGCATCTTATAATACATACTATCATTTATTATTATTATTATAATATACAAGTTTGTTAAAGAAATGAAGTTTGTGAAACCACTATTCCACCATGATTTAGGGTTTGAGTTGTGTGTGTCATCCATTTTTTTGGATTTTAAAATAAATTTTAAATATATATTTAAAAGTAAAATATAGTAAAACCATTGTTATATCCGAAGTCATTCTTCGAAAACTACATAATTCTTCGAAACTATCATCTATCGTGATTGTTTTTCCGAGTCTATGCTCCTCAACTTTTGACATGAACTTTGATAATGATCAAATCTAATAATTGGTCATCGTATCTGTACAATCTGTCAGTCTATCAACAGGTATGTATAATAACCCTAGAGATAACACCAGTCATCCTATAATTGTGATATATTTATATCTCAAGGAAAAACTGAGAAGAGGTCACTCTTATCAACAATAATCATCTTATTTCCCACACAACCTTTCTCTTCTTTTTCCTCGTATAGAAACAACGATCGACAACTACTCTCTCATCGATTGTAATTCTCTATTTAAATTAAAATGGACGATTTGTCAATGATAAAAAGATTAATTTATTCCATCAACAAGTTTCTTTCTTCTCCATATTCCATATTAACCAACTTGTATATAATTATTTATATACACGTTTGTTAAAGAAATGAAATTAGTGAAACCACGGATCCATCATGAATTAGGGTTTGAGTTGTGTGTCATCCATTTGTTTTTTTCATTTCAAGTTAAAAATTTCAATATATATATATATATATAATATCAAAAGTCGTTTTCTTTATCATATTCTATATTTTTTATCGAAGAAAAAGAATGAATCCATAAACTCTAAACCCTAAATTAAGTTATTAACTTATGTTTCGTTCTTTCTCAGATTTTTCCTTGAATCTTTAGTTTTCATTTGCAATAAACCACAAACCTTAAATCTATATTAGAGGGCTGAGAAAAGACAAATTAGAAGCAATAATTAGATGATTGAAAAGGTCAAATACCACTTTACTTTGATATATACTTAATTTTTGGTCAAACAGACAATTCAATTGGATTATATGTCCTTAAGTAGATGGAGTCACGTTGGTTTAATCAGCCATTTATTTAATTACCTTTTATATTTTATAGTTTTCTTAAGACTAAAGAGTAAAAGAAAAAGGAAATAATTAAAAAATCATTTTTAATAATTAAGGTCATTTTAAGGTAGTATTTGTTCAAAAAAAATTTAATCATTGACGATGTTTGAGTATTTTAAAGAGAACAACATTATTTTTCTTTATCACTAAAATCAACTAGTAGGTTAAAAATCAATTTTTTATATCATAAATAACATCCAAAACTAATTGAATTGTGGTGTGAGGAGAATACTTTATGTTTACTGTTTTATTATGCTTGCACTAGTGTGAAAATGGTAGAACAACATTTACCAATAAGTAATCTTTTCACAAAAGTTGTGTTTTTACACTGCATTTCTTTTTCATTAGGAGTTTATATTGTCATACTCTCAGCTCTAGGGGAGTATTATTTTTAAGGCATAATAATAAAATTATCCCCCAACGTTTGTACAAATTGTTACTTTGTCTCCTATTTTTTAGAGCATTTTAGTACTCCAATGTTTTATTTTGGCACAAAATTCCCCTCAATGGATGGAAATATGTAGTTGACTACCTGTCAATGCTTTCTATTGATGTGGTAGGTCCACGTGTGATGTCACATCATCAAATATATATATATATATATATATATATATATATATATATATATATATATATATATATATATATTTAAAATTTTAAATATATATTTATAAGTGTATATGTAATTAATTATAATTATAGTTTACTCTAGTTTTTTTGTTGAAGTGACATCACACATGAACTTGCCATGTTCGTATGAAACATTGACAATTAAAATTTTTATCCAACCAGGGGACATTTTACTCCAAAATGAAATGTTGGGGGTTAAAATACTTAAAAAAAGGGATAGGAGACAAAGTGACTATTTATGAAAATGTTGGGGGTAATTTTATTATTATGCCTATTTTTAAACAAAAGAATTTTTTTTAACAATTTCTACTTAGAGAGAGGAGAAAGCGGAATAATACTCCTAATGACTATCGGACCCACAAATTAGAGAGAAATAAGGGAGATACAATCGATAGTTTTTAACCGTTTGATTTAAAGATTGTTAACTAAACAAAGGGTATTTATAATCAACAAACACAGTTCAATGTATATCTTAGATTATAGACCATAACATTTTATAGTTAATGCCAATTAAAAATATTATAATTCAATTAAATGGATGATTGTTATCTTTTGAAGTCTCAATTTTAAATACGACGTTTATAGGAGTATATAAACTTCATTGTCAAAAAATAATTAAAAATATTTCAAACAAATAATATGCTATAATCAACACAGTTACACATATTATTAAAAAAATATAAAACAACTTCTGATCTAAATAAAAGGTTAATAATAAAATAGTTGTGCTAGTAAACCCAAGCCCAAGAGCGCATGTGTCCCAAACCCATCTTTTAATGTACATAATACATAGACCCACGAGAAAAAACCCTATCCAATTTTTATTTCCGGCTTAATACCTAAACTGACCCTGTATTTTAATATAATCTTCAATTTAGTCCTTTTACTATTTCCTTTTATCAGTTCGACCTCTCAACTTTTGTTTAATCTAAAACCGTTAAAAGACACTACGTAATCCAATCAGGTTTTGCTACATATGGCATTTTTTGTTAAAAATATCTGAAATAAAAAAATGGATAAAATCTTAAAAAAGTGAGAAAAAAAAATCATAAACGAGTTATAATAGGATATCAAACTATTGAAAGATTATCGACCATCGTAAATCAGAATCGATTGTCGTGAGAAAAATATCTCCATCACGTATCCAAATTCAATCCGGAGCTTCAAAGCATGGAAAATTAGTCTGGCAACAAATAAATGTCATGTTGATTAGTCAAGACGATATCAAATCTAACCTTAAAATTAAACAAAGATAACGACCGATAAAGAAGATTGAAATCGTGTTAAAAGACAAAGGAAAGTGTATCATAAACGATGAGTTATTAAAAATTAGGGAAAATTACACGTTTAGTACCTTAACTATCAGTTTTGGTTTGTTTTAGTAAATAAACTTTCAATTTTTTTAAAACCATACCTACGTTTAGTTTTGTTTCATTTTAATACCCGTCGTTAAAAACTTAACGGGCGGACTTACCGACTGTCGCATCTAAAATTGCTAATTGTCGCATCTATTGGTTGATGAAGCTAGAACTTTTCAGCTAACACCTTTTAAACCCCTAGAACTTGATTGTGGCCTCCGCTTCACCAGAAAATGCCTCAATCTCACTAAATCGATGATGAACTCTTCGACTTCTTCATCCTCAAATCTCTATTGGCAGTCGTCCGATAGACCTAAAATTGGACTATGTTGGTCGACTTGTCATTCTCTTGTGGTCCACCATTCAGATTTGTCATCCGTCCACCGAAGCTATACCCCGTCAGCCTATCTATTAAGTTTTTAATGATGTGGTACTAAAATGAAACAAAAATTAAACGTTAGGTATGATTATAAAAAAATTGAAAGTTTAAGTATTAAAATAAACCAAAATTAATAATTTAAGTATTAAATACATAGTTTACCTTAAAATTTTAAAGATATACTGACATTTTACGACCAGCACTAAAATTAATATAGTAACCGGCCAAACAAAAAGATAAAAGAATGGAGACTAATTGCGCAAGGGAAAAATGAGAAAAAGTAGAATATTTAAAAATAAAATAAAATCAATAATGGATTATGATTCGTATAAAATCTAGAATAAAATCTGGAACTTTAATGTGAAGCCCAGATGTAGAATACCACTTAACCAACTTCAATAATTACGGTGCAACGTAATGGTGAGTAAAATTTGATTCGATTAAAAAATTTAATTATTTTAACTTAATATAATTTAAAAAGTTTAATTTAAATTAATTTTATAAATTCAACTCGATTAAAATAATTCAAATTTAAATTATATTATAAAATAAAACTTAAATAACTCGAAATACATTGAATCATCAAACTTCGAGAAACTTAATCTAAGAATATAGTTGCCAACGAAATGCTCTAATTGAGCCAAAGTACAAAATGGAACTACGTTGGGATTTCGATACTTATAAAATTTTTATATATTCTATAAATTTAAAAAAAAATAGTACCAAAAGATAGTATTAAGCTTGACATTCACAAATCTATATTTAATTTGAGGTTTGGAACACTATTTACGCTAAAGTCGAGGTTTCTCTCTTAACCGTAGGGCATATGGTGTTTGGGCACAAAACCTTTCAAATGAGGTTTTTTTTTTAATCATCGTTTTTTATTATCAGTTTACATCAATTTTACACATTATCCTTAAAATTAAAGTTAAGCTACATGAACTCATTTAGTGATCTTAATGGTTAAAGATGATGTTCTCTCTAGAGATATTAGATTCGAGCAATTACATCTGTAAAATGTGTATGCATTGTTAATGACTAAAAAAATATAAATAAATAATATTTTATAATTACCTCAAACTATTAAAAAAAAAATAAGTTACAATTACTAGTGATGACACTTAGCACTTAAGTCATTGAATTCCATTAACTAATACATTTGGTATAATCAAGGCAAGTTTCTATGATTATCTTCTTATTTTAATGTCTAAATTTCCAATCATCATCTTTCAATTTCTATAATCATATTTCAATCGGACTAAATTTTACATTCTAGACACATTTTCAGTTTCTTAAAATTAAGACAAAATTGCTTAGAGTTGTGAGGCATCTACGAAGGGTTGCGTCTCGCATGAACCTATGGCTTTGAACTATTGCATATTCAAACTG